CCCTAACTGGTGAACTCAAATGTGTTGTCCTGAAGCCACACACGCCCCTACTCACCCGGAGGGTTCTCTTCAGGGCCACTTCCCGTTCGCGTCTAAAGTAAGCGACATCCTTTGGAATTTGAACGGAGCTGCGGGAAGGTTTGGACAACAGAAGCCGAGGTTACGGAAAGCTGCGATAAACAAGATGACGGACGGCCTGGTGGGCCTGTGACTCTCTCCATTGGGGCTGTCTGAAGGCCACGTTCTTCTATCTTGATCAGAACCTTTTCTGATATTGTGATCTCTGCTAACTCTTCCCCTGGTAACTTTATTTCTCCTCAGGGCCTTTCCCCTGCCTTTGGCTTATCTCAGTTCCTACCCCAGAGTGCCTGGAGGGATGCCTGGGCAGTGGTTTCCCAAAGGAATCCCATGTCTGACAGTCAGTGTACCTATCAAGCTTTGCTGTTTCTCCTTAGTTGACACAGAAAACTGGTGCCTTGTCACTGAAACAAAACGTTTTTTCTGTTCCCACTGAGTTACCAGAGGGTAGAAGCAACCCATAAACATCAAATGGGAAATATTTCAGAATTGTTTTTTTTTTTTTTTTTAACCAAGTTTTCTGCCTCAGGACCATGGCTGGTTCCTAGGAAACGTGCAGCAGCCATAGGGAAGGGGGGCTGTTCAGGCCCAAGGAGTCCTTTGCTCATCCTGACAGCAAGCTGAGGGGCCCCAGGAAGGGGTGGACTTGGGAGTTCAAGAGACAGGTCAAGGAATGCAGGAGAATAGCATCCCGAAACAGATCCCACACTTGCAAGATCGGATTTTGCAGTCCCTGGCAAAGGAGCCACAGTGCAGAGTTCAAAGACACGTGTGAGGGAGCCGGAGCGATGGGTGGAGGCTGTGAACTCGGGTTGATATTGTTCATTTGGCCCCAAGAGTCCTCAGATACTATTGTAAAATACACTGTTGGTGTGCTCCCTTGTGGAAGAGTCATTCTGTTAGATATTAGGCGACTGGGGATGTAGCTCAGTGGCTAGAGCATGGGCAAGGCCCTGGGTTCGATCTCCATTACTAAGGGAAGGGAACAGAAGGAGAGGAAATGCATGTTCTCGCTTTGACAAATTTGACAGCACAAATAATAACGTTGAAACAGCCAGCAAATAAAAGATTAGCATGATCACTGGACAAGGATGGCCCAAATGGACAAGACCCTGGGCCACGGACGCCTAAGCACCCACCTGGACACTTGGTGTCGGGACTTTGAAGCTGGAGATAATCCATCTCTTACCTCTTTGCTATGGGATGGGCTGTATGTTAAATGTGTTGCTCTGATTGGTTAATAAATAAAACACTGATTGGCCAGTAGCCAGGCAGGAAGTATAGGCGGGACAAGGAGAGAGAATAATTCTGGGAGGTGGAAGGCTGAGGCGGGGAGACACTGCCAGCCGCCACCTTGACAAGCGAGATGTAAGGTACCGGTAAGCCACGAGCCACTTGGCAAGGTATAGATTTATAGAAATGGATTAATTTAAGCTGTAAGAACAATTAGCAAGAAGCCTGCCACGGCCATACAGTTTGTAACCAATATAAGTCTCTGTGTTTACTTGGTTGGGTTTGAGCAGCTGTGGGACTGGCAGGACCAGAAAAACTCTAGCTACACCTCTTACCCTGTATTTTAATGTTGATGAAAGTGGGGTGAGAGAGAGAGAGAGAGAGAGAGAGAGAGAGAGAGAGAGAGAGAGAGAGACTCTGGAAAGATCTTGGGAGTGAAAGCAGCCATCAGTCAGTCACAGGCACATCGTCTGTGTGTTCTGAAGCTTCGTGGAGCTGGAGACTCAGTGACCCACTGGGAGGGGCTCAGTGTTGACAGGCAGGTACAGAAGGCTTCCCTTGCTTCTTGTCTCCCATCCTTAGCATCCTGGGAGCCTGGGCGGTCATGGGTTGGCTGCCCAACTCTCTCAAGTCATGTCGTTCTTCTTAGTCAACCTCAAAGCCCTGTGAGTGACCTAAAAGAGGCCTGTTGGGATAGTCCTTTGTACACTGTAGGCAGATGTGTCTCTGTCCTTCTTCACCTGCCTAAGGCACCTTCTGATTGGTTTAATAAAGAGCTGAACGGCCAATAGCTAGGCAGGAGAGATTAGGCGGGACTTCCAGGGCGAGATAGGAACTCTGGGAAAGAATCAGATTTGAGAGAGATTTGCCAGCCATATTCAGGGGAAGTGGGATGTATGGTACTGAGGAGAGAGAACGAGCCATGTGACAGAGTGCAGATTAATACAAGCAGGTTAATTTAAGTCTTAAGAGCTAGTTGGGAACAAACCTAAGCTAAGGCCAAGCTTTCATAATTAATAATAAGTCTCTATGTTATCATTTGGGAGCTGGTGATCCAAAGAAAGACTGGTTATGGAGGCCACTGAGCATAAGTGACCAACCCACAATGAGATGTTCATTAATTCAGTGAATATTGGGAATGCATGTGTTCACTTATTCTGTGGGCATCATGAACTACTGCAATGTCCAGGGCTTAGGGTATCAAACGAGGAAAAGAATGCAAAAATTTAAAAAGAAAACTTAAAGAAAAGAAAGAAGGAGGAGGAGGAAGAGAAGGAGGAGGAGGAGAAGAAGGAGGAGAAGGAAGAGGAGGAGGCTGGGGAGCTGGTAATGTAGACAAGCATCTGCCATGCACATGTGAGGACCTGAGCTGATCCTTCACACAGACTCAGTGGTGCATGTCTGCATATCCCAGTGCTCTTTGCAGTGAGATGGGAGATGGAGACAGGAGAATTCCCAGAAGCCAGCAGGGGCAGCCAGCTGGGCATATATGGCAACAGCTGAGAGGCCTGTCTCAAAAAGGTAGACGTTGAGGACTGACTCTGGAGGGTTCTCTAGCGTCCAGCCTGCACTCACACACACTCACAGACAACACATAGGGATTAAAAGAAAATATAATATATAATATATATTAATATATAATATATAATAAGGAAAAGAAAGATAATTTTCAGCTAAGTAATAAAAAAGAATGCTAAAGTGATTTATCAGGAGTGGATATTTATTTCGCTTTCCTTAGAACTAGCGCTATACCTAGAAAACAGGTAACATGCATCTTTTAGAGTTTAGATTCTTCCAGACATTACAGTGTAGAGTGGTTTGGGGCCACAGGGAAATGTGGGGATGCAGGATTTCTGTCACGCTGCTCTCAAAGTTTCTATAAACCTTCCTGTTACATGACACACTGAGGAGTCACTTGTGTGATGTAAAAGGTGCAATATCAGCACTTGATCTCTGGAATTTCATAGTCTTCAAAAAGCGTACGGTTGTCATGTGATCTTCATAATCTTATGAGGTAGGAGAGGTGATAAGGCCTCATTTGCAAAGAAAAGTCTAAGAGCAACAATGACCTGCCTGGTCCTGTGATTGCTTTCCTGACCACTCTATCCTTGATCTGTCTCAGACACCAAGGGAAACATGTAGAGAACATGTTCTTTCTTTCCGAGACAGGTTTTCTCTGTGTATCCCTGGCTGTCCCGGAACTCGCTCTGTAGACCAGGCTGGACAGATCCGCCTGCCTCTGCCTCCTGAGTGCTGGGATTAAAAGCATGTGCCACCACCGCCCAGCTTGGAGTACCTGTTCTTAAGAACTAGCTTTGGAGTGAAGTAGAAACTCAGACTATTACTGTTTCTTCCCCTATCTCCTCCCCATAACCCTCAAACCAACTGGGTTTCTCATGTTAACAGAAATGGTCATGAAGGTCCTGGGCTGAAAGACTCAGTGACCCTCTGCTCCTCTAAAGCAACCTAATGGCCACCATCATCATCGCCAGAACATCGTTTCCCAGGACGCACCACCAAATCTGCAACTTTGTATCGGCTTTTAAGAGTCTTATCAAAATTAAGGTCATATTCAACGTTATTAGGTAAAATAAAACTTTTCATTTATATAGTAGCTTCTGGAACTTAGGAAAATAGCAAATATTTTCCCACCTCATTAGATAAGATTTGCTTCAATCTGCCTTGACTGTTCCTAGAACAGGTTGGAAAAGGGCTCATCCTCCATGGTTGCATGGTGCTAAGCACCCAGATCTCATCCGATCTCGGCAGCTAAGCAAGGCTGGGCCCCCTTCGCACTTGCAAGGGGGACGGACGCAAAGGCATTGGAAACGGCTGCCGTGTGCCGTGTATCTGAGTTTGACATGATGTCAACTGTTCTTAAAGAAAAAGGAGCAGGGCAGACTGAGCATGTAGAATGGGGGTGGGAGGTAAGGTCCCAGAAGCCCCACCTGAAGGTCCAGTTAGCTGTTCCCGGAAGGAGCGCCCGCTCTTCCAGATCAGCCTTCAGTTCGCTTAGCTTTACGGCCAGGTCCTTCTCTAACAGCTGTATCTTTTCTGTGGAGGAGAGCTTATACACACCATCCATGGTTTCTTGTGCTGCTCCGAATCCCTGGAAAAGAAGAGCATGAAGCTTAGGCGGCACTCTCTGAGCAAGCCTGATCCGGTCGTCGTGGGGCTTTAACCTGCTCCCCACAGTCAGGCCAGCGTGGCCGGAAGGTGCGTGTGTTTAAATTGTCCATATGTATGTACAGATGATGTGTGGGGATGAGTGTGTGTCCACAACAAATGTGTAAAAATCAGAGACGACTTTATGGAGTGGTTTTTCTTTCCTTGCACCTTTTACATGGGTCCCAGGGATAGAACTCAGGTGGCCAGGCTGGGCAGTAAGCATTGTGACCCCTGACCCGTCTCAACAGCTCTCACCCCCACTTTTGCAATGGAAAGATTGGCCGGATAAGATGTGATCTCTGATGCAATCACTGCTTGGTGGACAGTAGGAAAAAGTAGGTTAGAGTCACCGCTGGCCTGCATCATTGCTCAGCTAGGCTAATCTTCAAGAATGTCCGCTCCAGCTCTGACTTCAGAGTTGATTAACGAGACACGTGCTCCCTGCCCCACTTGTGTGGTCTCCACGAAGATGTGTGGGGATTGCACACTAAACACTGTGAGTGACTTCTAACCCCGCTCCAACCCAGACACGGGGTGTCTGCGGCCTCTCTCCTCCAGCCTGAGGTATTTCTCCACAGGCATTTTTGAAGGCGTGAGCTTCTGGGTCTGGAAAATGTCCCAGGAATGAAGAATCTCAGCTTGATTGTGACCCTTGTACATCTGGGCTTGGAAGAAAATTACACTCATTCAATAAAATGTGTTTTCTTAATTTTGCTGCCTCCAATGGACATTCCAATTTTATCATTGAGTAAAAATCCCTGAGGATTTCCCACCCCACCCTTATCTGACAAATGCAACATAATTGTTTGCTAAGCCTTTAGTGTTAATAATTAAATGTGCAAGTTGACAATGTGATCCACGGGTTCGGTGATAGCGTTCTGGCTGCCTACACCTGTTCTGGACACAGGAGTGATGTCTCATTATAGAGACTGAAAACATTTCAGCTTTTCCCCCTTTTGACATTTGTCTTTACTTTTTTAAAAAAAAAATTTCAAGACAGGGTTTCTCTGTGTAGCTCTGGCTGTCCTGGAACTCACTCTGTAGACCAGGCTGGTCTCGAACTCACTGAGATCTGCCTGCCACCACTTCCCAAGTGCAGGCATTAAAGGTGTGTGCCACCATGCTCGGCTCCATTTTTGACATTTGAAAGTTCCTGCTTCCTTCATTCTTTCCTCCATCTTTCCTCACTCCTCCCCCACCCACCCCCACTTTCAGACAGGATCTTACTCTGTAGCTCAGGCTGGCCTCAAACTCTCCACCCTCCAAAGGGCTGGTAATACAGGACTATGGTACCACACTGGGTTATATTTCTGGATTCCTTTCATATATATTTTCTCAAGCCAATCTGTTATCATTTCAACAAATAACTAAGCTATGGGGGTGTTTTGTGCAGAGCCTTTCTTGGGGAGCCTACTTATTCTTTTTATAAATATTAAAAGTGGAATAGTATCTATTTCAGACTGGATTGTGGACCTGCTGAGTCATACGTTTACCATGTTTGGCACACGGCTGGAGCCTAATAAAATGCACTGTTATTGTTCTCAGCCAAGTCAAATGTTCCTCTGGAAAAGATTTGCCAGTTGGCAGCATCCTTTCCAGTCGGGCAAACAGGTCACAGCTGCCCTGACAGCTGCATTCCAGCTGCAGCTGAGAGCCGTGGGGAAGAAGGCTGGTCCTGCTCCCACAGGCCAGACATCCTGCTTTCACTTCCTGGGTAGTTCCAGCACTTTGCAGCTCTGAAACGAGGATATTTAATCCTGGGTTGTGCACTTTCTTTGTGGTCCAGTCCAGTATTCAGAAAACCGGCATAAAGCGAGGCTTGCCTGACAACGGTCTGTGAAATGGACGAGGCTCAGAGGAAGCCATGGCTGATGAGCTCTTGTGTCTAGTTTTTGTTTGTTTGTTTTTGTTTTTCAAGACAGGGTTTCTCCATGTAGTTTTAATTCCTGTCCTGAATCTCGCTCTGTAGACCAGGCTGGCCTCGAACTCACAGAGATCTGCCTGGCTCTGCTGGGATTAAGGGCGTGCGCCACCGCTGCCTGACACTTGTGCCTAGCTTTAAAGAGACTCAGACAAACTGCTGTTTGTTTGGGGGGTGGGGGTGGGGGAGGGAGAGAATGGGTAACACGTATGCAGCACCCACTGTGTGTCAGGAGAGCAGTGGGACCTCACTGAGTTTCACGTGACCCCTTGAGTTTCTTCAGCAGCATTCCGGCTCCATCTGTCCCTGTGGTTTGGATCTGAAATGTATCCCCACATTCATGTGTTGAGAGCTTGGTCTCTCTCCCACCAGGAGGCGGTAGGAACTTGAGGAGGAGGAAGGTCTACTTGGAGGAAGTAGGCCATTACACGCCCTGGCAGGATGTACTAGGAGAGTGAGTGCTCAGGTCCTCTCTATTTCCCCTCTACCTGCGCCCCCACCACCATTCTGCCTCCCCACAGGCCCACAGCAACCCGCCAGGCAACCAGGATTATAAACCTCTGAAACCATGAACCAAGACATACTTCCTCCCTAAGAGCCGAGGATCTCAACCTTGCCCCAGTGCCGGACGGCTGATAGACACGCTGTTTAGGATTTCTGCATTCATAGTCACTGATGGAACTGGCCTGGAGTTTTGACCTAAAGGTTTTGTTAGATTCTGAGATCCGAACCACGCTGGCTTCCTGAAACAAGTCATCAAGTATTCTCTAGATTCTAAAGACAAAATGTATGGCTTGTTATTTCCTCATCAAAGTTTCGGGAAAATCCACTTTAAAACATTTTAATCTTAAGTTTTCTTTGTAGGAAGGGTTTCAATTACAGATTTGTTTATTTTTGTGAGATCTATTTATGTTTATTTATTTTTACTTTATACATATGGGTGTTCTGCCTGCCTGCAGGTATATATGTGTACTAAATGCATGCAGTGTCCAAGGAGGCCAGGAACGTGCATTAAATTCCTGGAACTGGAGTTATAGACAGTTGTGAGCCATCATGTGGGTACTGGGAATTGAACTCTAGTCCTTTGGAAGAGCACTCAGTAGTCTTGACCACTGAGCCATTTCTCCAGCCCCTCCAGATTTAGTTTCTTAAAAGCTACATATGAGCTGGACAGTGGGGGCGCACGCCTTTAATCCCAGCACTCAGGAGGTACAGCCAGGTGGATCTCTGTGAGTTCGAGGCCAGCCTGGTCTACAGAGCAATCTCGAGGACAGGCACCAAAACTACACAGAGAAACCCTGTCTCGAAAAACAAAGAACAAAACAAAAAATAAAAAATAAAAATAAAAATAAAAAGCTACATATGAAGGCTGGTGAGCCGGCCCAGCAGGTAAAGGCACTGTATAAGTCTGATGACCTGAATTTCAATCCCCAGGTGCCATGGCAGATAAAAAGAACCAACTCCTGGAAGTTGTCCTCTGCCTCATGTGTTGTGTCACACACACACACACACACACACACACACACACACACACACACACAAGCACCATGCATGCACACAATCATACTATAATAATATAAAATAAAAATATTAAAGATACTAGATATGTGACAACTCATATTGCTTATTTCCCTTTGTGCCTATTTTAATAAGCTTTCTTACAGACCATTTCATACCTGAAACACATAAGTAGACACATTTTGAAGGCTATCCTTATTTTGAACAGTTTAGTGGAGATATAATTTCCACTGCATACAATTAATCCCATGTAGGATGTTCAGTCAATGGTCTTAGTGTCTGCAGGGTCTTACAGCCATTGCCACGATGACCTCAGAGTTTCTCACCTCCCCACCCCCAAAGCAAAGTGCTCTGATTGGTCTCCGCTCTCTAAGCCATTCCCTCTCAGCAGAAGGCATCCACCGACCCCCTTTCTGTCGCCGACATTCATTTGCCCATTCTGGATATTTCATATAAAGGAAACCATACCATTTGTGGTCTTTTGTGGTTGGCTTCTTTGATTTAGTATGATTTTTTTTTTTTTTTTTTTTTTTTTTTTTTTGGTTTTTCGAGACAGGGTTTCTCTGTGTAGCTTTGCGCCTTTCCTGGAACTCACTTGGTAGCCCAGGCTGGCCTCGAACTCACAGAGATCCGCCTGGCTCTGCCTCCCGAGTGCTGGGATTAAAGGCGTGCGCCACCACCGCCCGGCAGATTTAGTATGATGTTTTTAAGACTCATCCATGTTATAGCATGTACGGACATGTGACTCCTTTGTTTTTGAGACAAGGTCTTGCTATACAGTTCAGGTTGGACTTGACCTCTCCATCCTCCTGCCTCAGCCTCCCCGTGCTGAGATGACAGCATGAGCAGCATGCTCTGTGCTTCACTCCTTTACAATGTCTGAGTAACTTTCCATCGTACAGCTGCATAGCATTTCAGTGGCTCACCGGCTGACGGCTGATGAGCTGTTTCCACTCGGGGCTATGTGAACGCTGCTCTGACAGTTCAGGTATTTGTGTACAAAGGTTTTCATTCCTCCGGGGGTACATACATATGCAGGAGTGGAGTGGCTGGGTCAAATGTTAACTGCTTGAACTTTGTGAGCAACTACCAGATGTTTTCCAAAGTAGCAGCATGATTGTACACGCTTCCGTAAGATGCAAGGGTCCAGTTTCCCGGCAGCCGTGCCCAAACTTGGTGCTTTGGGCTTAAGCTACCACACTCGGTATGAAGTGATATGATTTTCATTTGCGTTTCCTAGTGGTCACTGATGTTGACCATCTATTTAGGAGTTCAGTGTTGACCCCCCTTCCTCCCTCCGCCTCCCTTTTTCTTCTTCTTGTGAGTTGTACGTGTTCCTTTTAAAAAATTCCTGAGTCAGAGTCTTGTGTATCCCAGGCTGGCCTCAAAATCCCCGTGTAGCAGAGGCTGGCCTTGAATTCCTGATCTCCCTGCCTTCACCGCCCAAGTTTGGGGATTATAGATTTGGGTCACCACACCCAGCTTGTGTTCTTTATACCTTC